ACTAAAGAACAGCAAACACCGCTGGGAAGCACAGGAGATAGCCCATCTGATGCTCGCAACAGCCTTAGAGCGATTCCCACTGCTGCCCTGACAGCTGCGGATTCGGAGGCCGAGCCACTTCCCCGGGTCCCCACAGCTCCGGGGCGGCCAGGCCAGGATTCCAAGCCGGCCGCTCCGTGCCCTGCGGCCCGCTGCGTCTCACAGCACAAGTCAGCCACCTGGAGGGGAGCCAGCCCTTCCCCAAGAGCCTCTGCCCCTCAGGAAACACACAACTCTAACACCACTGAACACACCTGCTTTCAGAAAACTCAGGGAATGAGGCTGTGTCAAAAACGCAAATCGGTGGCTCCAGATTACGAAAAACCATTCGTAAAACGAAAAACCACAACATTCCAATTTCTCCTCAAACATTCTCCTCCAATCTTATCCTTGCTAGTGAATGATATTAAGAGCCAACGCTAATAAATAAAATGCCCAAAGTTCTGGCACACGGGTTCTGGGAAATCAGGGGGAAACCACTGCAAGGCTGCCTTTGCCCAGCAGAGCTAACACAGGAGCGGGATACGTGGGGTTTTCTGCTTGAGATGGTCACCTACCCCGGAAAGTAAAGCACTGTTTACCTGAGCTGGCCCCAGTCTTCTACTTCTTCCAGATTTTATTTTCCTAACATTTATTTTCAATTTAAAATTTTAAAAGTTATTTAAGTTAAAAAAAAAAAAAGTCAAATGGGTAGCTTCTTCTGCAGAGCACCCATTGTCTTGCCTCATAAAAGCTCTTGAACATTCACCAAGCCCCAGTGGCCACTTAAGGAAGGTCATCTTTCCTCCAGATTTCTCAGTAATCACAGATACTTTTTGAGCATCTACTACAGTCAAAACAGATGTTTGATTCAGTCTCTCTCATTGCTAATACTGCAGCTTCCTGGGTCTGGGGTGGCCCAAGGTGAAAGAAAACTCATCCTGGAAAATCAGAGTCAGAAATGACACTGTCACCTGCATACCCTGAAACTAAGCCTGAGCCAAGCGATGCTGCCTCCCCCACGATCCTGAGAGCAGTGGCTCGCTCGGTCAAATACTTACTGACACTGCTTATGTATAAGGGTAAGAACTATAGGACCCACGTTTATGGGCAGCAGGCTGGGAGAATGAAGTAAGTGATGATGAACTGGGCATCAGAAGGGCTGAGTTCTAATCTAAGCTTTGGCCCCAACTTCCTGTGTGCCTATGGGCTCTCCGTTTCTGGGCCTCCATCTTCTTCTCACAGTCTAACATCCTGTGATCACTCTTTTCTCAAAATCATGAAAAATATTTATTTAAATCCTACAATTATATGGAAGAGGAACTAAAGAGCCTCTTGATGAAAGTGAAAGAGGAGAGTGAAAAAGTTGGCTTAAAACTCAAAATTCAAAAAATGAAGATCATGGCATCCAGTCCCATCACTTCATGGCAAATAGATGGGGAAACAGTGGAAACAGTGTCAGACTTTATTTTTGGGGGCTCCAAAATCACTGCAGATGGTGACTGCAGCCATGAAATTAAAAGACGCTTACTCCTTGGAAGAAAAGTTATGACCAACCTAGACAGCATATTAAAAAGCAGAGACATTACTTTGCCAACAAAGGTCCATCTAGTCAAAGCTATGGTTTTTCCAGTAGTCATGTATGGATGTGAGAGTTGGACCATGAAGAAAGCTGAGCGCCGAAGAATTGATGCTTTTGAACTATGGTGTTGGAAAAGACTCTTGAGAGTCTCTTGGACTGCAAGGAGATCCAACCAGTCCATCCTAAAGGAAATCAGTCCTGAACATTCCTTGGAAGGACTATTGCTGAAGCTGAAGCTCCAATACTTTGGTAACCTGATGCAAAGAAGTGACTTACTGGAAAAGATCCTGACTCTGAGCAAGATTGAAGACAGGAGGAGAAGGGGACGACAGAGGATAAGATGGTTGGATGGCATCACCGACTCAACGGATATGAGTTTGAGCAAACTCCTGGAGTTGGTGATGGACAGGGAAGCTTGGCGTGCTGCAGTCCATTGGTTGCGAAGAGTTGGACACGACTTAATGACTGAACAACAACAGCAGTGACTATTTAAGTCTCCTTGATGGTCTGGCTAAAGAACCCAGTGGTGAATAGGTGGTTCTAAATGAATACAGGAGGTAGTACACCCAGATCTGCCAATCCCCACGTCACTAAAGGCACACAGATGAACCTCCTTTTTCCAAGCCTGGAGGAGGGGGCCCTACCTTGACAACAGAGAGTAAAATACAAAATAAGGTCCCCTGAGTGTCAAGGACTGTGTGGGTCCACTAGAACCGCTTGGCTGGGGTAAGCAGACTTCTCTGCTGCCAAGCACTGGCTATCAGGGAGGCAGATGGTGACAATCATGTAGATATTGAAAGCAAACTGCATGAGCATTTCTCTAAAGATTGTATCATAAATTCTGAATAAGAAATAATTCCTTTCTCACAGCAGACTTCTGACAGAACAACATCTTGGCAAGACAGCCACATATCTTCCTGAATTCCTGGACATCATGAACTACGGTTTATAATCCATCCTGGCGTGAGCCAGGCCAGACACCTCTCCACTGGCCCTCTCCCCCACTTCTCTGAGGCTCTCACCTTGCCCTCCCTGATCCTGAAAGGTAATTCTGATCCTCGCCACACACATCAACACATTACAGAAAGGAAATTACTTCCGGTCTGCACATGTACAAAAGAAGAAAACCACCAGGACCTTGGCAGCCCTTCTCTATTCCAACCCCTGGTGGCTCGGATGGTGAAGAACTGCCTGCAGTGCAGGAGACCTGGGTTCGATCCCTGGGTCGGGAAGATCCCCTGGAGGAGGAAATGGCAACCCACTCCAGTGTTCTTGCCCGGAGAATCCCATGGACAGAGGAGCCTGGTGGGCTGCAGTCCGTGGGGTCAGAAAGAGTCAGACACGACTGAGCGACTAACATTCTAATCCCTAAGCAGAGAGAGAATCCATAAATTGATGGGAAACAAGATTCTGACCAAACCCAAAGTCTCAGAGAATTTCTAACCACTTCAAGCAATCTCGCAGGAAACACTTCTGAGTCTGAAGGGGGAAATACCAGGATCGAGCCGTGGTGAGACCACCAGCAAACTGGGAGGGCCAGACGTGGCCAGGAGCTGCTGCTCTTGGTGAAATGTGTCATTCACCAAGAATCCGGTATGCTCCTGCATCTGGGTTGAGTGTCTTTATTGACACAACCTTTTACAATCCCCACAGGAACTCCATGAAGTAGGCACCCATTATTTTGCTCCTTTTACAGATGGGAAAATCAAGACTGAGAAGTGAAGGAAGTAACTACAAAGAGCAGAGCTAAAAGACAGGGATCCTTCTAAACAGAAGTTGCCCACACCTCCCCAGCCTCAGCCAGCCTTCAGCTTCCTCTGCCTGAGGGTGCGAGCTCAGGGCCCCTTGCTCACACATTTTCTACTCAAGGCCCCTTGCTCACGTGTTCTGTGCTCACGTGGCCCCTTGCTCACGCATCCTCTGCTCACATGGCCCCTTCCCACACGTTCTCTACTCAAGGCCCCTTGCTCACATGTTCTGTGCTCACGTGGCCCCTTGCTCACGCGTTCTCTACTGAAGGCCCCTTGCTCACGTGTTCTGTGCTCACGTGGCCCCTTGCTCACATGTTGTCTGCTCACATGAGCTCACGCATCCTCTGCTCATGTGGCACCGTGCTCATGCATTCTCTGCTCACGTGGGCCCTTGCTCACATGTTCTCGGCTCACGTGATCCCTTGCTCATGTATTCTCTGCTCATGTGATCCCTTGCTCACGTGTTCTGTGCTCACGTGGCCCCTTGCTCACGTGTTCTCTGTTCATGTGGCCCCTTTGCTCATGTGTTCTCTGCTCACGTGGCCCCTTGCTCACGTGTTCTCTGCTCACGTGGCCCTTTGCTCACATGTTCTGTGCTCACATGGCCCCTGGCTCACATGTTCTCTGCTCACGTGGCCCCTTGCTCACGCGTTCTCTGCTCACGTGGCCCCTTGCTCACGCGTTCTCTACTCAAGGCCCCTTGCTCACGTGTTCTGTGCTCACGTGGCCCCTTGCTCACATGTTGTCTGCTCACATGAGCTCACGCATCCTCTGCTCACGTGGCCCCATGCTCATGCATTCTCTGCTCACGTGCGCCCTTGCTCACATGTTCTCTGCTCACGTGATCCCTTGCTCACGCGTTCTCTGCTCACGTGGCCCCTTGCTCACGCGTTCTCTACTCAAGGCCCCTTGCTCATGTGTTCTGTGCTCACGTGGCCCCTTGCTCACATGTTGTCTGCTCACATGAGTTCACGCATCCTCTGCTCACGTGGCCCCATGCTCATGCATTCTCTGCTCACGTGGGCCCTTGCTCACATGTTCTCTGCTCACGTGATCCCTTGCTCACGCGTTCTCTGCTCACGTGGCCCCTGGCTTACGCGTTCTCTGCTCACATAGCCCTCTGATCAGCTGTTGGTTTCATCTCCACCTCACCAGTGAACCACTGACTGCTGGGAGTAAACCATCCCAGGTGACCTGGGGATCCACCACCTGCCCCCAGCAGGTTGGTGGAGAGTCCCCACAGACCTCTGGCATGACCACTGAGCTTCCCAAATCCCTGATGTACTGTATGTTGGTACACAGTCCATGTACATAGTCCATGTTCGAACAGCTGCACAAATACAGCTCAACCTGGTTTGCCTATGAGAACAGGAATGATTAGTCAGCTTCAGGGCGCTGAGGGCATAAATGGATACATATTGTCATTTCTGTTCAGAGGATGTTAAAATGCTTCCCAAACACTGACCTGTCTATTTTCACAAGGAGCCACATTCACCAGCATATTCTCCTTAGTGTTTAAGAATATAAGCAAAGCTTTGCACCCAGAGACAGCCAAGTTGAAGGCTTCCAGAGGTTTGTCACAGTTCTGTATGATGTGGTTTGAAATTTTAAAACATTACCAACTGAACACACACATGATCTTCACTCACCCTTTCTATCTCCTGAAGGTACAAGAGGGCAATGTCCCCCGCCTTCTCATAGCAGGTGATGATGTCCTGCTCCCGGTCCACACGGAGGCTGCTGGTAGAAGAAGAAATAGGCAACTTCTCTAAACAAAGTCCTAAAAAAAAAACCAACATACAAAAACTGGGTGAGTTGTTTTTTACGTGACTTAATTTTTTAGTATTACTCTAGAGAGCCAGATACTATGAGCGTAGGAGATTCTCTGTCCTCTCTAAGAACAAAATGGAACACCAAAACAGAGTACCAGAAAGAAAATCCAGAGGTTATGGATGACAGAGGCCCCTCAATATACAGAAAACACCATTTGACTCTGACATCCAGGTTGAGAATTTGATCAGGTACTTCACTAGGATCCCATTCAGACCTAACAGAGCTTCTCATTCAACCATGCCCCAAGATCCTTCAGGAATTTTATAAGTAAGTACAGTGAGGCTAGGGCTTCCGAGGTGGCCCAGCAGTAAAGAATCCACCTGCCAAGCCAGAGACCTGAGTTCAATCCCTGGGTTGGGAAGATCCCCTGGACGGGAGCACGGCAACCCACTCCAGCACAGCACAAAACAAGGTAAAGAATATTGAGTATCTTCTAAACTGTGCGCTTAGCTGATTGAATATAAAACATTTCTAAATACACTCAGGAGCCTCAGTTACCGGGAAGATCTTCCAACTCTTGGCCTAGATTTCTGCAGTAACAACACTCCAGACCACCTCTCAGTTCCAGGCCAAGAACCTTGCAGTTTGGGCCCTTCTTTGGAGATAGAGGAGACATCCCTGGCCAAGAGAGAGTTCAGGCCCACGATGGGTTAGGAAAGCATGAAAGGCTGAAAAGTGCCAGTGCCGAGAGGAGCAGCTGTTGCCTGAACCCAGCACCAGACTCAGCCCCTGTCCTGGGCAACCGGCCTGGGGCCCGTCGGGCTCTGGGTCTCCATCGAAAACCGGAGGCAGAGAGGGAGCCCAGTGCGGAGGGTCTGCGCCGCTGCAAGCGCCCTGAGAACTGGGGAGACACACAGGCGCAATGCCACTCCGTGGAAGAGTGTGAGAGAAGCGTCCACACTGAGTCAGGATCTGAGAGCGGTTTCCTGGCAAACGCACTCATTTTATAGATGAAGAAGCTGAGAACCATCGAGGGAAAGTAAGAGATACGCCCCAAACCTGAGAGGCAGTTCAGAGCACAACAGAGATCAGAACCCGGGTCTTCAGCCCCCAAAGCAGCACCTACCTATTAAGGGAGCTGCTGACTCTCAGAGCAGATGCCACTGCAAAGAGGGGATCAGGCAAGCCGCAGGGCAGCCAGTGACCCGGAGGCCCTGCGCATCACTGTGAGAATGGCCCCTCCCAGCTGCTCTTAACAAACGACGCAGTCCCTGCAGCTGTAGAAGGTGACAGAAGACGTGCTCCACGGGGAGGGGAAGAACCACGTCCATCTGCAGGGAGCCAACACTGAGGACAGCCTGCCTGGGAGCTTAGAGGTGACAGCTTTGTCACAGAAGGCGCGGACCAGCCAAGGATTCTGCTGCTGCTGCTGCTGCTGCGTCGCTTCAGTCGTGTCCGACTCTGTGTGACCCCACAGACGGCAGCCCACCAGGCTCCCCCGTCCTGGGATTCTCTGGGCAAGAAGACTGGAGTGGGTTGCCATTTCCTTCTCCAATGCATGGAAGTGAAAAGTGAAAGTGAAGTCACTCAGTCGAGCCCGACTCATAGCGACCCCATAGACGGCAGCCCACCAGGCTCCCCCGTCCCTGGGATTCTCTGGGCAAGAACACTGGAGTGGGTTGCCATTTCCTTCTCCAATGCAGGAAAGTGAAAAGTGAAAGTGAAGTTGCTCAGTCGGGCCCGACTCCTAGCGACCCCATGGACTGCAGTCCACCAGGCTCCTCCGTCCAAGGGATCTTCCAGGCAAGAGGACTGGAGTGGGTGCCATTGCCTTCTCTGAAAGATTTTGCTACAGGTTAACAAAGATTTCTTGAGGTGACATTGGGATATGAAGAACTGCACCATGTTTCACCATGATTTCTTTTGTTTTTATTTACTTTATTTTTTATTAAAGTCCATCGTTTACATTAGGGTTCACTCTCTGCATTATGCAGGTCTATGAGTTTTAGCAAATGCAGCGTCATGTTTCCACAATCACAGTATCGTACTGATATCATCAAACCGATTCATGGCCCTAAAAATGAGATCTAGTCCTCTAGCCCTCCTCCTGAACCCTGCAACCGCTCATCTTTTCACTGTCTCTACAGTTCAGCTTTGTCCAGAATATTATACAATTGCAATCATACAGTATGTAGACTTTTCAGACTGTCTTTGTTCACTTGGAAATATGCTGTTAAGATCCCCTCACATCTTTTTGTAGGCAGATAGCTAATTTCCTTTTGTTGCTAAGTAATATTCCATTTATTCATTAATCTATTTAAAGGCATAATGGTTGCTTACAAGTTTTGGGAATTACGGATAAAGCTGCTATAAACATTCACATGAAGATTTTCGTGTGCACATAGTTTTCAACTCTGTTGGGTAAATACCAGGAAGAGGAACTGGTGGATGGTATGGTAAGAGTATGTTTGTTAAGAAATATCTAAGTAAATATATTTTATTTACAAATAGCTTTGTAAGGATAAATATCACTTTTAGCTTTGTAAGAAACTACTAAACTAGTTGTCTTCCCGAGGGGCTGTAGTCTTTTGCATTCCTAAAAGCAATGAATGAGACCTCCTATTGCTCAGCATCCTTGCCAGCATTTGGTGTTATCAATTTTTTTAATTTTAGTCATTTAATATGTATAGCGGTGTCTCACTGCTGTTTTAATTTACAGTTTCCTATTAACATGTGATATTGATTTTTTAACACTTATTTGCCATCTGTATACCTTCTTTGGTAAAATGTCTGGTCAGATCTATTGTCATTTTGTCAAAAAGATTGAATCATTTGTTTTCTTATTGTTGAATTTTGAGTTCTTTATATATTTTTGATACAAGTCCTTTATCAGATATCTATTTTGCAATTATTTTCTCAGTCTGACTTCATTCTGTTAACAGTGTCTTTCATAGAACAAAAGTTGTTAATTTCCTTAAAGTCCAACCTGTCAATTTTTTCTTTAACGGATTGTGCTCTTGGTATAGTCTCTAAAACGCCACTACTAAGTCCAAGATCACCTAGATTTTCTCCTGTGTTATCTTCCAGAAGTTTTATTTAGTTTGGATTTCAGATATAGGTTTGCAATCCACTGTGAGTTGATATTTGTGAAAGGTACATACAAGGTTTGTGTCCATATATAAACATATATTTAGCATGTGGATGTCCGTTTTCTTCCAGTACCATTTGCTGAAGAAACTACCTTTCCCTCATTGAGTTGCCTTTGTTTCTTTGCCAAAAATCAGTTGATTATAGTTGAGTGGGTCTTTTTCTGGGCTCTCTATTCTGTTTCACTAATTTTTTAGATTATTTATTTATTTGGCTACATCTGATCTTAGGTGAGGCATATGACATCTTTGTTGCATCATGTGGGATCTTTCCTTGCATTTCACAGGCTCCCCGGCCGTGGCTCACAGGCTCCCCGGCTGTGGCTCACAGGCTCCCCGGCCGTGGCTCACAGGCTCCCCGGCCGTGGCTCACAGGCTCCCCGGCCGTGGCTCACAGGCTCCCCGGCTGTGGCTCACACGCTCCCCGGCTGTGGCTCACAGGCTCTCCGGCTGTGGCTCAGACTCTCTGGATGAGCCTGTGGGATCCTGATTCCCCAAAACCAGGGACTGAACCTGCATCCCCTGCCTTGCAGGGCAGATTCTTAACCACTGAACCACCAGGGAAGTCCCCTATTGATTTTTTTTGTCTATCATTTCACCAATCTTATGCTGTCTGGATTACCAGTATACAGTGTATCATTTTTAAAGAACAGCTCTACTGAGAGATAAATTACATGGCATAAAATTCACTCATTTTAAGTAAAGCATAAAAATGAAATCATGTGTCATCTTTTGTGTTTCGCTTCTTTCAGTTAGTAGTTTTTTCAACGTTCATCTGAGTTACAACAATATCCATATCTCTCCACAGCTGTATAGACATACTGCATTTCATCTGTCCATTCTCCAGTAGTGGGCATTTGGCTTGTTTCCTTTTTTGTCCATAATGAATAATGCTGTCATGAAATCTCATGTATAATTTCTGCATGAACATGTATTTTTAATTCTCTTGGGTAGATACCTAGAAGCAGAAGTGTTAGGTCAGATACAAAATTTACATTTTACTGTTTAAGAAACACATCTTCCAAAGTGTTAAAAAGCTATACCATTTAACATTCCCACCAGCTATTCATGAGGATTCCAGTTTCTCCACATTCTTGTCAACACTTGTTACTGTCTGTTTTATTACGGTCCTCTCAGTAGGTGTGAAGTGGTGTCTCAGTGTGGTTTTGATTTGCATTTCCAAAATGACTAGTGATACTGACTCTTCATGTGCATCTTCTTTAGTGAAATGTCTGTTAAAATCTTTTACTTGTTTTTCTTGGGTTGTTGGTTTTCTTATTGAGTTTTGAGAGTTCTCCATGTATTCCGAATAGAAATCCTCCATCAGATATGCGATTTGCAAATATTTTCTCTCAGTCTGTCATTTGTGCTACTTCTTTTTAAAAAAAAAAATCGGGTATAGTTTCTGTACAGTGTTGTGTCAGTTTCTGCTGCACACGATGAATCAGCTGTATTCCATACGGATAGTCCGTATGTATCCACACGCTCCTCCCCTCTTGGGTCTCCATCTGCCCCCCACCCTCCACCCCACCCATTTAGGGCACCACAGAACGCCGAGCTGAGCTCCCTGCGTGATACTTCAGGTTCCCACTAGCTATCTGCTTCATACATGGTGGTGTATATGTGTCAGTACCAATCTCCATTAACATGTCTTTTGAAGATTAGAAATTTTAAATTTTGATGGAGTCAAATTTATCAGTATTTTCTTTCATAGATTGTACTTTTGGTTTCATATCTTTAAAAGGTTACAAAGTTTTCTTCTAAAAGTTCTTCTAGAATTTTTATATTTTTAGGTTTTACATCTAGGCCTATAAATCATTTTAACATATTTTTTGTACATGTTGCAAAGTATGGATCAAAG